TATATTGTTGTTCTTGAGTAGCTTGTAAGAATAGATCATTTTGTTTTTCATCGAAAATTAATTCTCTTAGAACAAATACTTTTGTTCTTGTCGTTGGTTTCAAAGTTATATTTTCCGATTGTTTGTTTGGGATGTGAAATTTGCAATTGAGTAATAAATAGGAACCAAAGTCAAGACCAGTTAAGCAAATCGATCAAGTGGATCTCGAAGCTTTGTTCATCACAATACTACTTTTCATCATTTAATCATCGTTACTTTTATTCAAATATTTTTGCTCATCTTTTTATTTTTAGAAAATCATTTTCTCTAGGTTATTCACTCTTAGCGGTACCTCCTTTTGTTGGTTTAATCAGCTTCTCTATGGATTCGACACCTAAAGCTATGCTTCAACGACCGCTTAGCCAAGGGTAATAATTTTGCGCGAGACACAAAATTTGGTGCCGTTGCTGGGGAAGCCAAACCAACAACTGAGTTTGAACATTCTTTACTTCTCTTTTATTTCCTCTGTTCGTTTCGTTTTCTTTAGTTTTATTTTATTTTCTTGATCTTATTTTCCTTTTCTTCTTTTTGTAAGCTAAAAAAATAAAAAAAAAAAAATAGGAGCCTAGGGTGTATGAATAGACCAAGGGACAAAAGTGGGAGATTCGCTAGACAGATACGAATAGACCCACCACCACTCCCTGAAGAAGAAGTAGCATTTAGTTCGTCCTCTGATTCTGAAACCATGAGTCAACACGAGGACAACCCTGTTAGGTCTTTAAAAGACTACATGCACCCCACCTGGACAGCCACACCATCATGCATCATGTTCCCTCCGAATACACCACAATTTGAGTTCAAACCTGGAATGATCCAACTCTTGCCTAATTTCCATGGTTTAGACAATGAGAATCCATATGTGCACATTAGGGAATTTGAAGAGATAGTGGCCACCTTTCATAACCGAGCTGATATTGTAGACATTGTTAGGCTGAAAATTTTCCCTTTTTCCCTAAAAGAGAAATCTAAGAGTTGGCTATACTCTTTGAGACCGAGATCCATAGGTACATGGGCGAAGATGACCCAAACTTTCTTTAACAAGTACTTCCTGCACCATAAGACCAACAACCTTAAGAGACAGATCTCAACATTTTTTCAAAAGGATAGTTAAACCCCATACCAAGCCTGGGAGAGATTTAAAGAGCTACAGAACCTGTGTTCGCACCATGGGTATGAAATTTGGAGGCTAGTTAGTTATTTTTATGAGGGTTTAACCAGTAGGGAGTGCCAATTCATAGAGATGATGTGTAATGGGGAGTTTTTGCAAAAGGATCCTGAAGAAGCCATGGATTACTTGAATGAGTTAGCTGAGAAAGCCTACACGTGGATTGGAC